AAAAAAAAAAACCTGGAACCCTGGAAAAATCTAACTCAAAACGGCAGAGCGTCGGCTCCGACTGAGCGCTGCGCTTTTTAGAATGTTAGGCCTCGCGCCAGGCGGACGTGCGTCGGTGCGGTTGGGCCAGCGCGCGACCGGCGGAGGAGGAGAGCCAGCCCGCACTGAGCCACGCAGCGCGCCGTCGGTGTTGAGGTGAATCTGTGGAGCAAGAGCGCATCGTGTTGGGCAAGTCACAGTTCGGCGATTCCGAAGCTTCTCGACACAATCTCCCACGCTCACCACTCATCACTCATCCTCCTCTACCGTCACCGTCACCTGTGGCAATCCCAGCTGTCACCACGCTCATCGATAACGACAGCGTCTGCCATCGTTCTGTCAACCACTCGCCGCAGCTGAACTGTGTCGATTTCGAAGACGCATTCGCCCGTGCATCGTCGCCGACGCTTCGCTGGGTGGCGCATTGGCCGAGGAGCAGCCTCCGACTCAGCTCAGCCAAGCTCGGCATCACCGTCACTCGCTCGTGCGGCAGCTTACCACTCCATCGCCCGCTCGCCACCGATACATAGCCCACCATGAGCCGTCCGCGCTTCTTCAACGCTCCCCGCAAGGGCGAGAACTTTGAGCTGCGCGCCGACCTCAACTCGGAATACCGGGATCGCAGAAAGGATGCCATCAAGCGCGTCATCGCCAACATGACCGTCGGCAAGGACGTCAGCGGTCTCTTTCCAGACGTGCTCAAAAACATGCAGACCGAAGACCTCGAACAGAAGAAGCTCGTCTACCTCTACCTCATGAACTACGCCAAGACGCAGCCTGAGCTCGTCATCCTCGCCGTCAACACGTTCGTCAAGGACTCCGAAGATCCCAACCCGCTCATCCGTGCGCTCGCCATCCGCACCATGGGCTGCCTCCGTGCCGAAAAGATCATCGATTACCTCTCCGACCCGCTCGAAAAGTCGCTTCGCGACGACAACCCATACGTGCGCAAGACCGCCGCCATCTGCGTCGCCAAACTGTACGACCTCAAGCCCGATCTTGCCGTCGATCGCGGCTTCGTCGGCATGCTCAAGGACATGGTCGGCGACAGCAACCCCATGGTCGTCGCCAACGCCGTCACCGCACTCACCGACATCCACCAGACCGCGCTCGAACGCGACCCCACCGGCCAGTCCGCCGTGTTTGTCATTGACTCGGACGTCCTCACCAAGCTGCTCATCGCGCTCAACGAGTGCACCGAGTGGGGTCGCATCGCCATCCTCAACTCCCTCGCCCGCTACCGCGCGCGCGACGAGAAGCAGGCGGAACACATCTGCGAGCGCGTCATGCCCCAGTTCCAACACGCCAACGGAAGCGTCGTGCTCGGCGCCGTCAAGGTCGTCCTCATCCACATGGCCAAGGTGCGCTCCAACGACGAGCTCATCAAGCAGCTCGTCCGCAAGATGGCGCCACCCCTCGTCACGCTCATCTCGTCCGCACCCGAGGTGCAGTGGGTCGCACTGCGCAACATCAACCTCGTCCTCCAGAAGCGTCCCGACATCCTCCAGAACGAACTGCGCGTCTTCTTCTGCAAGTACAACGACCCCTCGTACGTCAAGCTCGAAAAGGTCGAGATCATGATCAAGCTCGCCAACGAGCGCAACGTCGACATGCTCCTCTCGGAGCTCAAGGAGTACGCCTCCGAGGTGGACGTCGACTTTGTGCGTCGTGCCATCCGCGCCATCGGCCAGTGTGCCATCAAGATCGACGCAGCCGCCGAACGATGCGTGCACGTGCTGCTCGACCTGATCGCCACCAAGGTGAGCTACGTGGTTCAGGAGGCGGTTGTCGTCATCAAGGACATCTTCCGCAAATACCCGCACAACTACGAGGGCATCATCCCCACGCTTTGCGCCAACCTCGAGGAGCTCGACGAGCCGGAGGCCAAGGCATCGCTCATCTGGATCCTGGGCGAGTATGCGGACAAGATCTCGAATGCCGAGGAGCTGCTCGCCCACTTCCTCGACTCGTTCACAGACGAGCCGTACCAGGTGCAGTTCCAGACGCTCACCGCCATCGTCAAGGCCTTCCTCAAGAAGCCAGACAGCGGCGTGGCCCAGCAGATCGTGCAGCAGGTGCTCGAGAAGGCGACCAAGGAGTGCGACTCGCCCGACCTGCGCGACCGTGCATTCATCTACTGGCGGCTGCTCTCGTCGTCCGACTCGGCCGCTGGGCGCAACGTCGTGCTGGCCGAACGTCCGCCCATCTCGATCCCGCTCACGACGGTGCCCCCAGGCGTGCTGGACGAGCTCGTCGCCGAGCTGTCGAGTCTGGCAAGCGCATACCACAAGCCCGCAGCGACGTTCATCGGCAAGGTGCGCTTCGGTGCCGACGGCGTGCGCAGTCTGGGCGCCGAGGCGGGCGAGGACGAGATCACGCGCGAAAAGGCGCTGGCCACCGTCGTGCAGGGCCAGAAGTCCGAAAACCTGCTCGACTTTGGCGACGACGATGTGGATGCTGCGCCCGCTGCGGGGTCGGCGAGCAATGGCGGCGGCGCGCTGGGCGCGCTGGCAGGGCTGGATGGTCTGATGATGGGTGCATCGATCTCGTCGCCCACGGCGCAGGCCGGAGGCGGCGCAAAAGCACCACCAGCTGCGGGAGGCGGGCTGAATGACCTGCTCGGGCTGTTTGATGCGGCGCCGGGAGCGGACGAGCCAGGCGCACAGAGCGGTATGCAGGCGCTCAATGCGCTCTCCCAACCCATGGCGCCTACGAGCCCAGTGCCCAACACCACCGCAAGCCCCAGGCCCGCACAGCCAGCACAGTCGGCCCAACAGGACGACCTGCTGGGTCTGTTCTAGGCCCGCATGCACCTGCTCAATCCCAAGTCACTCAAAGCATCACCAGCGCACACAAGGAGATTGTGAGATGTCGAGACAAGTTTGAAGCGAGGCTGCGATTTTGTTTTTGTGGCAGAGTATAGTACATTTCGGGACGACGAAGAGGCAAGGCTTAGACAGAGAGCTCGGCCTTGCCGGCGCCCTGGATGGCAGCTTGGTAGGGCTCGATGGCGGGGCGGACCCACTTTGCGAGGAAGCTGTCGACCTGCTGTTCGGCACGGCCAGTGAAGCTCTTGGGGTCGAGCAGCTGGTCCATCTGCGGGATGATGGGAGCAAAGTAGGCGTCGGCCTTGATCCTTGCGATCAGGTCGTTCTCGCGACCGTGCTCCTTGACCTCGGCGGCGGCTTGGTGCGAGAGCACACGGATGCGCTCGTGGCACTCCTGTCGGTCACCACCGGCACGCACCATAGCCATGATGACGTTCTCGGTCGCCATAAAGGGCAGCTCGCTCTGGATACGACGAGCAATGATGGCGGGGTAGACCACCAGTCCCTCGGACACGTTCTGAAGGATGGTGAGGATCACATCGGCAGTGAGGAACGCCTCGGGGATCGAAAGACGACGGTTGGCAGAGTCGTCGAGCGTACGCTCCATCCACTGGGCACCGGCTGTCTCGCGCGCCGAGTTGACCGCGTTGCCGAGCCAGCGGGCCAGACCGCAGACGCGCTCGGAACGCATGGGGTTGCGCTTGTACGCCATGGCCGAGGAACCGATCTGGTCCTTCTCGAACGGCTCCTCCACCTCCTTGAGGTGGCAGAGCAGTCGGATGTCCGTGGCCATCTTGAGCGCCGACGCCGAGAAGCTCGAGAGGCTGTTGAGCACGTCGATGTCGACCTTGCGCGAGTACGTCTGGCCGGTGACGGGCATGGCGTGCGGGAAGCCAAACAGCTCGGTGACACGCTCGTCGAGCGCCTCGACCTTGGCGTGGTCGCCGTCGAAGAGCGCGAGGAACGAAGCCTGGGTGCCCGTGGTGCCCTTGACGCCGCGGAAGCCGAGGTCGTCGCGTGCGCGCTGGATGTTGCGCAGGTCCCACAGCAGCTCCTGGATCCAGAGCGTGGCGCGCTTGCCCACCGTGGTGAGCTGGGCGGGCTGCATGTGGGTGAAGCCGAGCGTGGGCAGCGCCTTGTGCTTCTCGGCGAAGGCAGCGAGACGCTCAATGACGAGGGCGAGCTTGGGCAGAAGCAGGTCGAGACCCTTGCGCAGGAAGATGAGGTCGGCGTTGTCCGTGACGTAGCACGAGGTGGCGCCGAGGTGGATCACTCCGGCGGCCTCGGGAGCGACGAGGCCAAAGACGTGGACGTGGGCCATGACGTCGTGGCGGCGACGCTTCTCCTCCTCGGCAGCGAGGGCCATCTGGCGCTCGTCGAGCGTGAGGTTGGCCTTCATCTGTTCGATGGCCTCCTGGGAGATGTCCAGGCCGAGCTCGCGCTCGGCAATGGCGAGGTTGAGCCAGAGTTCACGCCAGGTGGAGAAGCGAGTGGCGTTGGAGAAGAGACCCGACATCTCCTTGGACGCATAGCGCGCCGAGAGCGGCGACTGCCACGATTCGAAAGAGGCCATTTTGATGATAGAAGAGCGACCTAGGGGAGGAAGGATGGGGGGAGATGGTGGTGGCAGGGAATACGGCTAGCGGTTGGATCGGGCACGAGTAGCGCTCGGGTGTGCTGTCAATCGACGGATACGCAGCGGCTCGCTTCTTCAAACGAATCACAATCGCAATCGATAGAGGGCTTCTTCTCTCCGCACTACCTGATGCAGAGCCAAAAGAGAACGCTTTCGGTTGGGTCGAGTCTAAGTGTGCTGAACGTGTCTGTGCGGCGCCCGTGCCAAATTTTTGAGGTGGGCCCTAACTTTTTTTTCTTGTCGGCGGACCTCGGATCTTTCCTATTTTTCGAGGTCTGAATCGGGCTGAGCAGGCCGGCATCGGGATGCATGGACCCTGACAAGAGGCAACCTTCTCGCAAGCCCTTCCTCGCGTTGTCATACGTACAGTCGTACATCCAGCCCTGACAACGATCGTTCAACATCATGGCTGTGCCAGCGACCGACTCGTATAGTCCGCTCAACACGGTGGCTGTGGTCCCGTACGACCTCCCAGCGTCCGCTTCCTCTGCCTCGCGCTCGCGCGCGGCGTTGGACGCATCAGCACGGTCCGCAGGCTCGCTGGTCTCGGCTGCGTCGAACTTGATTGGCGCTATCGCGCAGGGAACCACATCTCTCCAGACTGTTCAGTCCGAAACTCTTTCCGATGACGCTGAAAGCGACGATGGCTCGAGCTCGTTCACGTACCGCGCTCCGGCAGGCACTTCCAGCGGCTCCCAGGGCGGCGGCTGGTACGCCTCGACGCCGTACCACATCTCCAACCGATACTACGAGGTGGACATCACGCTCAAGGCCACGCGATCCGCGCTAGCTTCTGCCTCGGAAACCTCCAGTGCTGCGGAGGATAGTGTGCTGTCACAGCCCTTCCCTGCGTACCTCGTGGTAGTCGACCGCAGCCGCAGCCTGGATCATCACCGTCAGCTCGCCGCCAGCCTCGAGTCCAAGGTCTCTTCGGGCTTTGACGCGGATATCAGCATAGTTGTGGGCGTGTCGCTGCTCTCGTCCTCGCATCCGCAACTGGTGCAGAATCTGGATGACGAGCCACGTCACGCATCAGCCACGCTAAGGCGGGCTTCCAACGAGATCGCCAAGACGAGCGATCTTGTGGCGGTGTACGCTGATGCAGGATGGGAGTTCATCGCGATCGATGAGGCGGATGCAGATGGATCGGATGCGCAATCGAGTCGGGGACACGGGTCCGATGGTGAAGACAGCGAAGAGGGTGGCGATGGTATCGAGAGAATCCGCGAGGCACTCATGAACCACATGTGGAATGGACTCGTGCGCAAGCAAGAAGCGACAAGTGCATTGCGCGGATCGTTGCCAGAGGGGAGTCACTCGTCTGTCGCCAGCGCACCCTTGTCAAGCATTGGCTTTTCCGAAGATGCAACCGCATGGCGCGACAACCAACACGACTTACTCGAGCAAGCTCCGCGTCTTGACAGTGCAGTTGAGGCAGCCAGTCGCGAGGAGAGTTCACAGGAGGGGCGACTTCCGTCACTGGGCGTGGGAACTCACGCCGAGACGAGCGAGCTGGACGAGCAGCTCGCCAACCTGTTCCTCTCCTCGTCCCGCCCTTCTGACCTGGCCGAACTCGAAGCTTTTCTGGCGTCGGAAGATCCGTCGTGGCCCACTGCGTCGTCATCCTCTGCACCTGTTCCGGCTGCTCCTGCATTCGACGATGATTTCGACGACTTTCTTCCGTTCCAATCTGCCGGCTCTTCCGACGCTTGGACCGCGTTCGAAGGTGCTGATCTTCCGTCCGAACGCGAGGTTGCCAACATGCAAAACGTACTCTTTGGCTCGCAGACGGGGTCCGCGGACGAGGGCGATCTGGTATCGCAGCTCAACCAGCTCCAGTACCATGCGCAGCGAGTGCGCGGGATCGACGACCCGGATCAGCGCAGGAAACAGGCTGCACTTGTAGCGCTCGCTTTCAGCATGCAGTGGTCTGATTCTGAACCCCGACAAGCACAACCGGACGGATCCGACGGATTGGCATTCTAGATCACACAAAGCGAGGGTCAATGTCATTCAATTCCGCATTCTCAGGCGTCGAGGGACAGCAGCATCTACTGGGCCTTCTGGAGACGCTCCTCGGCAGCCTTGAAGTTGATCACCTCCCAGATGGCCTTAAAGTAGTCGGCCTTGACGTTCTGGTACTGCAGGTAGAATGCGTGCTCCCATGCGTCCACGCCGATCAGGGGAACATGGGCTACGATGCGTAGCGAAATCGGAGATGTCTGGGTCAGCAAGGCGGGTCTCTAAAGGTGAAGGTGATCGCTGCATCGACGACTTACACAGCAGAGGGTCCTGGTTAGCGGTGGTAACGATGTCGAGCTTCTTGGTCTGCGGGTTGTAGCCGAGCCAGCCCCAGCCGGATCCCTGAATCGCGGCGATCTGGGCGTTGAACTTCTGCTTCAGTCCGTCGAGGCTGCCAAAGTCACGGTCGATGGCGTCCTTGAGTGCGCCGTTGGACAGCTCACCGCCACCGTTCTTCTTGGGTGCCAGGTTCTCCCAGAAGAGCGTGTGGTTGATGTGTCCGCCGCCGTTGAAGTTGATCGCCTTCTGCAGCGCGATGGCGCTCTTGACGTCCTTGTTGTGCAGCGCCTCGGCGAGCTGGTCCTCGGCAGTGTTGAGGCCGTTGACGTACGTCTGGTGGTGCTTGGTGTGGTGCAGCTCCATAATCTGGCCCGAGATCGACGGCTCCAGCGCACCGTAGTCGTACGCGAGGTCGGGAAGCGTGTGCTTGGCGCGCACCGACGCGGCCAGACCGCGAGTCGAGGCCGGCAGAGCGCGAGTGGATCGAGTAAGAGCAGTTCGCAGCATTGTGAGTTCAGTGCTTCAGTCAAAGAAGTTTTGGATCGGTAACGGTTGGCAAGGTAGATCGAGCGCAGCTATATACCTTCGGCTTCCCCGAGCTGGCCGGGAGCTTCGGCCCTAAGACGAGCACGGACGCTCTTTTTCCGTCAGCTCAACCTCCACTGCTATGTGCAAATTGACGCAATTCCTGAATCCCTCATCCAGCCTGGCCGCGGCGTTTCCGCGCTGCCCGAGGGCATTTCGACGCTCATCGACTGGATCGGGATGCGCCAGAGCAGCCTTTTCACACGAAGACTGCGCATCGATCACATGCGCGCGATTCCAACAAGTCGATCTGAAAAATGAAGCACCGAATGATGCCGATGGGACACGAATCGGGAAGAGCTGAGCAATTCGCGTCGCGTAAAGGGCCGACAGCTGCGCACCGAAGGTGTCACTTTTGAGCTCGGGGGCGTAGCCAAAGCTTTTAGCGCTCCACTGCGCCTCGCAAATAGAGCAACACCACCGGGGCCGATGTTGGCAGCTGCTTCCGACTCGTCCCATCCCACCTGTCTGCCAATCAACGTTCATTCCAGCCATGACATCCATCCAACAACTGCACCGACTATAGATTGCTTCGCCTCCAGCCCGATTCTCGGGCAGCATACAAGGGAAATGCACCCATGCTCCATATATCCAACATGCAGCTCGACAGCCGACCCAGCATCGGTCCGTCCAAAGAGGTGGTTCCGACCTCGGACGACGATGACATCTTCTTCATCTCGCAATCATCCAAAAGAATGGCTTCTAGCGTAGCCAGCTCGTCCCGCGTCACGCTCGATACCCACCTCGCACCGCCGCCACAAATCGGCTTGGTTGACGATGTCGATGAAGACGACGATGGCGACGAGACAATACTTCCAGTGCGTCCGAGGAAATCAAAGGATATGGAATCATTGCCGCGATCTTCGCCACCGAATGCGTTCAACACAAGCATTCTTCCGACATCAGACGCTGTAGAGGCGGCAGCACCTCTGTCGCAAACGTCGGCCTTCTCCTCCCCACCAGCAACTCCGCCATTAAGAATCGAGAGCCCAACAGACGCGACAGATGAGCAGCAGCGAGGGTCATCCAGCCCAGTGCGGATACTAGACAATGGAGGCATCGAAGAATCGTTGCCGCCAAGTCAAGGAAGCGACGCCACCGTTCCCCTCCCCTCATCCAGTCAGCACATCGATTCAAGCCAGCATTTCCCGCTTGATCCGCCATCACCACCTTCAACTGCAAGCGAACAGCCAACACGACCACCGATGGACGAATCGCCTCCATTGACTCCGTTACGCATCCCGCAGGTCCAGACTCGGACAGACGACGGCCTCCACGGTGAGGCCCACGGTCAACCATCGCCAAAGCCGGCCCGCCAGGTTGGAAGCGAGCCAGACTTGCAACTGGTGACAACTCCTCCGCTCTCGCCACTTCGCATAGCCGGTCGACTTGCTGCCCACCGATCACCGCCAACACAGGCGCAGACTAGCCCCGCGATGCCAAGGCAGTCACCGCAGCGAAACACGACCATCGATGATGAACAGCTAGCCCGCGCCGCCGCCGCCCAACCACCCACGCCGCCTCGGCGCCAGCTTCGGGCACGAAAGGCGGCGCAGCTCAACCCATACACGCTCGAAGCTGTGCGCTACCAGCGCGCGCTCATCCGCAACGACTGGGAGGACGCCGTCGTTAGCCAGCGAGAGTGGCATCGCCAGGAGCGCAGGCGGCTCGCAGAAGAGGCGGCTCGCGCACAACGCGGCGACCCGGCTGCACACGGCTCCGGCGAGTCTCAGAGTCAGTGGCTCGTCCCTGCATCCGACCCCAGCTCACAGGCCGACTACGAAGCAGACCTCCCCTCATCGTCTCAATCTGTCCCTACAGCACCTCAGGTGATTGTGGAGATTCCTGTACTTGGTCGCTCAGATCTCGAACAGCGGCAGGCGGCCGGATCGCGGTCCAGAGGGGAGACCCCGTCGTCGTCGCAGGCTGAATCCTTACCAGATCTCGCAGAGATTTTAGCCAAGGCTGCCAGGACTACGACGAGACCTAGCGCAAGGGAGAGGGTGGGCAGGCCGGGAGCGCCAGCTACGTACAAGGGTGCGCGCAGTGCCGTGCTTCCAGTTGACAGACCGGCGACGCAGGCATCAGAAAGTCCTGTGCAAGAGCAAGAAAGTGGCGGTGCGCCGATACCAGTGCCCAGCCGACGAAAGCATCCCTTCCGCGCTCTGTCGAGTTCTAGCACTGAGGACAACACTGCAAATCAAGCAACAAGCCCACGCGCCCAGGCGACGGTGACGATCGAGTCTTCGGAGGACGAACGGCCTGTGCCCAAGCCGACGACCCAACGCTCCCGGCGAAGGAGTCGCTGGTCTGGCGATGGGTCGAGCAGCGACAGCACCGACTACGAAAGACGCTTCCGCCAGCTCAAGAAGATGATGCCCGCAGGAATGGCGCGCAAGCACATTCGTGACCTGCGTGCGATGCGGCACGGCAAGGCGTACCATTCGGACGGACATGTCTCCTCCTCTTCGACCGGCAATGTGCCTGGCCACACTGCTGATCAAAACAGGCCGCCAATCATGCCAGAAGAAAGCGATGACGAATTGCAGCCCGGTCAGACGCGAAAACGGTTGCGGCGGCACGACAGTGCCGACAACGCTCTGCTCATCGACCCAGACTCGGAGTCGGACTCGTCGTCCGCGTCGACTGCATCTAGTCGGCCTCGCAGCCTCTCGCCCGAGCCAATAGCTGCCCGTCTCCGCAGCCCGAGTCCAGACAGTGACGAGGCTGGAGATATGGAAGAGGCGCCCGTTGGCTGGTGGTCCGTCCATCGACTCGAGTCGAGAACACCGTTCCGCGAACGCGACGCCATCGATCGTATGCTCAGCTGCACTACCGGGCGTAAACCCAGCACGAAGAAAGCCCGATCGCACGCAGCACATTCAGTCCATCGACAAGCGCGACTGGACGGCTTTCTCTCATGTGAACGCTATGAGCGGCAACCGGGATCGAAGAGGTCGCAACTGCGCGAGCTCGATCAGAACCGAGCGAAAGGTGGCGATACCAAGGATACAGACGAACAGCGAGCGAGAAAGAAGAGGCGAAAGACAAAGAAGCTCGATCCACGGGTCGGACGCACGTCGAGCACGAGGCAGCGCGGTGTAGCGCCTATCGAGCTTCGCAATCCTCCTGTGGTGCGGCCCCGCGTGAGACCCCGCCTGGACTTGGAGCGTCATGACCTGCTGTTTGCGCACGACCCGGTCAAGGCCCTCGAATCTGCAAGACGAGTGGATGACGACGAAGCCCTCGATGGGCTCGACTCGGATGAGGACGAACCGTGGCAGGTCCTCAGTAGTCTCGCGCATGACGGTGGAACGGAGCTACCTGATGCAAGGCTCGCAAGGCCGCGCAATCGACCGATCGCGCTTCCCACGATCCGCGAGGGCGAGGGAACTCCTCTGCGCAATTCATTGTCGTCGCCATCGGTCAGCGTCGCGTCAGTTGGCGTGTCGAGGATCAACGCAGATACAGGGCGCAGTCCGAGCACGCCCACACGCGCATTACCGCCTGGGACCACACACGTTCCACACCAGACCTTCAGCATCGGGCCCATGCCGCCGATCGAGGCCAAGCACACTGATGCATGGGACGACTTTGAGGGCATCAGTCTCGATTTTGGCATTGCCGCCTTCGCCTCCGGGCAAACACTCACCCATGGCGCATCGGATCTCTTTGCTCGCCTTCAAGACCTGGTCGCGCTGCCGGATAGGCTGCTGCGCCGCGAGCCGACACCGCGCACGTGGCGTGGCGAAGTGCTGCGTCTGGACGACACAACGCTGTGCATGGATATGGACGCCGACACCCTGTCTTGCAACCTTCCCTTCTACGTCGACAGCCTGCGCCTCCAGATCAGCCGCATGTTCGACGACGCAGAGGACAAGGCGGATGCGTCGAGATTGTCTGCAAAGCTCGTCAGCGACACGGGCGCCTTCCTGGGATGCTGGCTTGTAAGGTGTGCACAGGCAGCGTTCGAGGCGAGAAGAGATGCCGCCGCGCTGTTCGCGTGCTACAGGACGATGCTGGAGCGCATCGAGCAGCTGCAGACGTCGGTACTGGCGATTCAGCAGCGGACGGAGGCCGCCAAGAAGCATCGCAACGCAGTGTGTCTGCAGCTGGCCTGGATGCGCTTCGAGCTCTGCTGGCGAGCCGTGGCCGTGTGCGATGCTGAGGCTGCGTACGCTCTGGAGCCCGAGGCGCCAATCGTGGAGAGTCTGCTCGCCTTCACGCGTGCACTCATGGCTGTCCTGCTGCATCACGGGCTCCATCGCTCGGTGCGCGCCTTGCGCAATGCCGTCTCCGCCTCTGGCAACGGCGCTGAAGGTGAATCGGGCACTCAGGACGCGGCTCCGCTGGACGACGCAGCCTCGATGTGGGTCGGGGTAATCCACCTGCTCGACTCGTTTGAGAAGAGCCGTGGCATTACCGACGGACGGCTGTTCTGGACCCAATTCGAACATGCGCATGCGCGGTGGGATGGCACCATGCAGCGCGCACCCCTGCTGCGCGCAGAAAGCCTGTGGTACTGCACGTTTGCTATGCCCTTGTTTTCGCAGATCTCGCCCGGAGGAAGCGTGCAGCTGCCGCTGCTGCGCGAGTGTTGGTCCGCAGTCGCACGGGCGCTGGGCATGCTCCGCTTCCGCACTGACGAGGCGGCCGAAATTGGCATGGGCTGGCACGTGCTTGCGCGCCGCGACGCCTACGTCCGTATCGTCCTACAGCGCTGCTGCCTTCTGGCCTCCGAGTGGCGCTGGGGCATGGACGGCGCTGAAACCACGCTAGCGCGGCTGTTCGACATCTTCAACTCGCACAAGCTGGCAGACTTGCCCACAGAGACGGCACACGACTTTCCGGCTTTCCTCCGCGACTTCGACGTGCGCAAGCTCGAGGTGGCGGTGGACAGGGAGGCGAGGGAGGATCCGAGCTTCCATCTGTTCGTCCGACTCCTCGCGCGGGCAGGGCAAGCGCTGCGGCAGTCTGTTTCAGAGGCCAAGGAAGGAGACCGCAAGATTGCCAGGCTGTTTTCCAGGATGACCGCCGTGCGTGTCATGCCGTTCACGAGAACGGACGTGCCGACGAGCGCACAGCGGTCGGTACTGTTCAATCACTACGCGGTGGTGATGCTGCTGCTCCATCTCGTACCTGCCTCGTCGCCGCAGAGGCTGAGACAGATCCAGAGCTTCTTGCCCGCATTTGGCGAGGCCGACTTTACCAGCCAGGTCACGTGCGTGCGTGCGATGATGTACGTCGCTGTCGAGTTCAGGCACCACCGACTCGACCTCGCGCCCGTCGTCAAGTGGTTTGGCGACACGATCACCGCTCTCCGTAAAGAATATGACGAGATCGACCGGACCGCACGCCAGCACGACACTCCGCATGGAGGGCAGAGGGTGGCCGCGGTGTTCGAGAACGCGCCCAAGAGACAGGCGGTGCTGAGGCGCAAGGAGGAGATCGCACGGCTGCTTGTGGTGGCGCTGCGTTCGATCCAGCACGTCATCAGGCACGCGGATCTGGAGGGAGCCGCGACCACGGCCAAGTTGCCGGACCAGCAGCTTCTGCATTCGGCGTGGACGCACGAGCTGCTCGCGGCGCAGATCGCGCTCGAGCCACGCATTGGTCAGGAGGGCTTGAAGTGCATTCAGACCTTCCTCCTTGCGCGGATACGCGCATTCTCGACCTCGGCGGTATCACTTGGCGGTACAAACAATTCAACTTCAAATGGCGGCAGCGGAGAAGAAGACAGTCAGGACAGCTTTGCGGAGCTGTTTGACGCCGCCGATGACGACTTTGACTATGAAGACCCCCTGCTTGCTCGCTTGCTGGACGGCACCAACGGCGCGGAGCCAGTCGTGTCCTCCGCTGTGGCGGAAGCGGAGGAGCGAAAGCGATGGGACCGCGAATTTGGTGATCTGGTCAAACTCAACATCTCGCCGGCACTGTTCCAGCTGCTATCGAACGTTTATCACCCGGATGCGCGCGTGGTCATGGGGCTCGGCGTCACAGAGCGGCTGGGGACGGACACGGCGCGTGCCGGAGCGAATACGCGCATGGAGCAGCTGATCCAGGCAGCCGAGGCGCGCCAGTTCCTCGAGCTTGTGGTCGACTGCTGGGCGGGCTGTGCGCAGGTGCTAGTCGCCAACGGTCTGCGCGCGTGGAGCTCCTACCTGGGTTTCGGCAACGAATCGTGGAAACGCATCGACCATGCTGTCGGGCGCCGCGACGTCGCGCTGCGCTTCATGCAGAACCTGCTCACGCTCGACCCGGCCGCACTCGACAAGAAGGAGTACGAGGTGGAGTGTTTGGCGGTGTGGATACAGACGGCTGTTGCGCGCGTGCTGTCCGTGCAGAATGTCTTTACTGTCGAACTCGTCAAGGCCGCCTCGGCACGGCGTCTCGCGCTTCTGCCCTCGCTCACAGCTCGATGGCGCGACGTCATGCCGGACGGGGATATCGACTTGGACACATTCGTGGAGATCAGGCCACGGGTGCTGGATGTTACGTTCAAGTGGGTCGCCACGGAGCTGCGCGACGCCCAGAGCACAGCGCACACTGTGCTTTCCGCGTTGCTCTCGGCGTTGCGCGCGTACGTCGAGAACGCGCCGAACGGCAGCGCGGGAGCGGAATACGTCGCCTTCGCCAACGAGACGCTGGGTGCACTGCAGCAGCGCATGGACGGTGCGCAGCTCAGTGCCGCACTGCTCAGCGACGTAGCGCAGGCGAAACAAGTCATCGACTCGCGTCTGCACCCGCGGCCGTAGCCTTGTGATTGTTCGGACAGTCGCCATCCTGTGCTAGGCGGACCGCTTGACCACACGGGTCGTCACCTCCAACCCAAACCCAAACCTTCTGTCACACCGTTGGGAATCGCAAATCTGGCGCGCCTAAAGTGGATTTGCTTGAAACTGTGTGCTTGAACTGGGGGTTGTTCGCACAGCCGCTTTCTGCTCGGGCGTCCTCCTCTGCTAGGCGGTCAGCCAGGCCACACACTTTTTTGTCGACTCCAACCCTAACCTTCCGTCACACGGATAGGAATCACAACTTTGGCGTGCTGACAAAGGTCGTTTGACAAGCTTGAGTTGCGGGTTGTTCGGACATCCGCTTTCTGTTCTGGCGTACTCGTCTGCTCGGACAGCCAGGCCTGAGGTTTTGCCGGACCCAACCTTGTGTCACCGTGTGTTACGACGATAGACATCACCAACTCAACATGGCGCGACAAGTTGAAATGCGTGTGACCAGTGCAGGGGGTCCGACGCAGGAGATGTGTGAGGCGCGGTTGACACCGAGCATGATCAGACACTGTGCAGCATTCTGGATGCGCGTCTTTCGCAAACCCATCGCTCTTCCTCTGTGGCTTGGCGTGCTGAAATGTTCGATTGGAATGCATGAACAGCGGCTTGCTAGACGGATGTGCGGAGCTGTGCCAGGGTGTTCCTGAGTTCGTCTAGCGCGGACTCTTCCCCCTCAAGCGCGGCTGTTGGATGGTGCACGGCGGCACATATCGCGATCAGCGCCGTGACGAGCGGCGCAAATGTCGGGGCAGGCGGGGTATTGAGATGGACCATCAACACTTTTCCGCCCTTCTCGGCTCTTTTGCGCACCACCTCTATCACCGCCTTTAACTCTTGCAACTCTCCCTCGGCCTGCTTGAGTCTCTGCTTTGTCTGCGCTGACTTGAGGACGGCATCGAGGCTTTGTGGTGTTGATTTGGCTTCGCGCGGCAACACTGGCCAGCCCTGATTCGAACCCGGTTGTTCCGCTCCACACAGCTCTGCATAAACCAACGCTATCCTTGCGGTGAGTGCGCGAGCGGTGTCAAGGGAGCGTAGGCAACGTCGTAGCGAGTTGGCGTGACGCCACCAGAGGGCGGATTGGAACTGCGACGCATTCTTGTACCACATCCGATCCAGCACCACCCGCTCGCACTCGACCGCCTGCAGCGCAACAATGAGTGCGCGTAAAGAGCGTTTCAACTGCTTCAATGTCCCCGTCCCAATCGAATCCGAAATGGTGCTATCCAGCTTGGACTTATCAGAACTACGCTCAGCGGAGGCGGCGTCCAGTCTCGCCTTCTTGCCGCTGGAACGCGAGGTCGCGATGGACGTCGTAGCGGAGCGCTTCAGCGCCTGGTCGGAGCTGCTTGCACGGCTGGTCGAACTCTTCATCTCGGCTTCAATCCCGCTCCGTCCGCTGCGTACGTGATGAAAAGCAAGAATGGTCATGGCGACAAGAACGAACCCACACCAGCCTTTTTTTTTTT